CAAAGGAAGATGGTTGTGATGGTTGGAGGTCAACCATCTCAGCTGTGAATATCTCTGTAGGAGTTCCTCACGGTAGTGTCTTGGGCCCAACCATCAGCGGCTTAATCAATGACCTTCCCTCCATGTTCATTATGCAAGTATCATTGTTTAGCACCATTTGCACTGACTCGTACTGAAGCAGGTTATGTCCGTATGCAGCAAGACCTGGACAACATCAGACTTGGCAAGTGTCCAGAAACATACATGGCACAAATGTGGCAGGCAATGACCATGTCCAGTAAGACAGAATTTGACAGTCACCATGTTCAATAGCATTCCCATTGCTGAACCTCCTATTAACTTCCTGGGAGTTACCATTAACCTGAAACTGAACTGGACCATCCATATTACACACTGGCTGCAAGAGCAAGTCAGAGGCTTGAAATTATTTCATCCACCCCACGCCCTTGCTTTTCTGTTTCAAAGTCTGTTCTGATTAAGTCTCACTTTAGTCTACAGGGCTGTTTGGATAATGCTTATTAATTTTTATAATTTATCCTGAATAATGGTCATAGCTCCTGCTAATGATTGGTGCTGAGAATCTACACCTTTTAAATTCGTGCAACATCTATTTTTGTTCTGGGAAAATAGAACTTTGTTTATGCTTTACACTTCATCTAAAATATATGTTGGGTTAACTTGTTTATAATTGTTGCAGTGGAACCTTATCTATTATTTTGTTTTGGTTTTGTTTGCTGATATCTCCAACATAGCATTTGCAACTTTTTGTCCCAAAACCCCTCTTGGTATGCAGTTTCTTAAGATTTGTCCAACTTTTATTTCTCTATACTTGGTGGAATGAGGTTGCACTGCATCATTAACCAATTGTATGGTCTCTTTGTGACTCGTGCCATGTCATTGACAGCTGCTTGTATTTGCTTTCTTTTTTTTACCCCTCACCATGGTGTTCCGATGTGCCTGTGTTTATGCCAGCATCCTTAGCTCCGCCCCCTCCCCCTATGCCTCAACTGACTCCACAGATCCCTCTCACAGGCTTCGTGGCCAGGGTGCAAGAAAACAGTAAGTTCCTATGGCTGAGTAGATGCATCCGTTTCCCATTTTAAGGACGCAAGTCTGCATGATTGACATTTTCACATACTTGTTTAGGAGATTTCTTTGCTCCTATCTCTGTACAGTGCATCACCAGCTGTGTGCTTCTGTGTTGCTGAATGTGTAGGTGAAGACACTGACATAATTTAGTGATATGCAATATCCAGTTCTTATCAGCATAATAGTGTACGATTTTTCATGAGTTTTAATTCAGTTACTTCAAAAACATCTATTAGCATAATATGCCTGTTTTTAAATTGTCAATAATCTTAATTGGACTTTTCAAAATATAATTTAAATTGGATAAATGTTATGTGCATAAGTCAGATTAATACCAATTTACATACATATTAGTGCCAATTATAATTGACAGGTTTGGTATACAATTTTTTTTATTCAAAAAAAAACAGGCTGAGGAGAGCTACTTTCAGAAGCAGGTTAAAATCTCCATCTTTTCTCTCCCTGCAGAAAGCTGGTTTCTGTTAGTGAGAGCCTGCTTTCAGTTGGACTGTTCTGTATATTGCATGTCAAATAACAAACTTTAGTGGAAACTATTGCAGTTGTCATTTAGTGCATGTTTTAGAAGTGTGAATTAATATAATCCTCCTGTTCATCTTGCTATATAGTTTCTGCATTTGTACAAATTTTTGGTAAGGTATCATCAGTATAAAGTTATGAAAAGCCTTTCAGTCCCTGAAAGTATTGAGATCTAGGGAATGCAAAGTTGCCACCTGCTGGACAGTGTTCATTGTGCATAGTAATTCTTGAACTTCATTCAAATGGTAACACATTCTTTTACTCATAGTAATATGCTAAAATAAATGAGCAGATTAGGAATAACTATTTGAGCACTGCATTTGAATGCAGTTGGTTTGAAGATTCCCAAACTTGCATCATGCATATTAGGTGCAAGGTTTTCTATTTCCAACACCTCCAGAAGAATCTGCCAGCTTTCTTACAAAAGTAAGGATTTTGCTCAGAAGTTTTGGGATTTGTATAAATGACAAGTTTTTAAATTCCAATTGTATACACAGGTACTTTCACTTTCGTAGTGACTAAAAAGGGCAATGGACTTTAGTCAAAGTACGTTTTTAAATACAGAACTATACTTTACTTTTCTTTCTTCTGAATTATCTAAATTGAACTTTTTTGGTACCCATCTAGACTAAAATAAAAATGTTACTGTGAACTATTGGTTGTAGTCACTACTTTCAAAACCTGATTGAAATGTCATTGTGCAGTTTTATCTTCTTTCCTACAGGATTACTTGAGACTTGATTATTAAACAAGACGTCTTTAGTTTGCTGATCACTGAAGATCATTCAATTATCACCTCAGACTAGGGACGCTCCTTTTGTATTTAACTGAGGTAGTTGGATATAGAAGGATCTTTGTGCACACACTATTGCATTTCATATAGAAATTGACTAACGTGGCTCAGCATGGTCTGAAACTTCTCCATATTCTGCCTACATGCATGGTTTCCTTAAAAGCCTGCAATAAAAATGCATGTGAAATTAATTTTTTGAATATGTATATTGTGAAACCTGCTTAGTGTCCGTCCTTGATTACACTAATAAACTTGCAAACTGTTCCAGTTGCTGATAGTCCAACTCCTCCACCACCACCACCACCAGATGATTTACCGATGTTTGATGAATCCCCACCCCCTCCTCCCCCGCCACCTGTGGACTATGAAGATGAAGAAGCAGCAGTTGTGCAATACAATGACCCTTACGCTGATTCAGATCCTCACTGGGCACCAAAGATTTATCTTGAAAAAGGTAAGTTGTTGACTACTTTTCAAAAGGAAGAAAAATGTGTTGTTATTAATCCAATAAAATTTAGACTGTTGGAAGGTCTTTTGATTCATAGCTGCCATTTTAAAATACCTGAAATTTTCAAAGATTTGTATCTGAAGATTGACACTTATATTTGGGGGGGAGTTTTGATTGTGACCGTTCCTGTTCACATGGATAAACTTGTCCATGCTTCTCTGGATTATCAGTTTTCAGACAGAACTTGCATTATCTTGATCTATCCAGTTAATATACATAGTGATTGTTTCCACTAGTTAATGAAATGTCATTCAAAGAATTAAAGTTTTTAAAAAGCAAATGTTTGTGTAGAAGAAGGGCTTCATTATGCTTTGTCATAAAGGATCATTAGGAAGTGTAAAGCTTTAGCAAAAATTTGAAGTAGAGGTGGAGATTACTAAAATAGTATTGGCTATGTCTTTGACTAGGAAGTTAAAAGTTCTGGGGAAGGGAAGTGGGGAATTAGGATTAAGCTGCATGCCTCCAGTTCAAGATATGGCGTTGACATAAACATGATGGTTGATTTGGTTTTTTGCACTGTAATTTTTAAATTCTATTCACCAAAGACACGTAGCACTTTGCAATATAACTGATGGAATATGTAATTCTTCTGAATTCTCTTGTGGCTTTACACTGTTCACATCAGAAAGAATGGCCTGAGTGGGTAACAGCTTTACAGAGTACTTTGTTTTAAACCCTTATTAATTGTTCATCCTTCTGCCTTTTTTAATCTGATGGCAAGCAGGCATATGATACTTAAGCAAAACCATATTTGGGGCTAAAATAAATTTGCCTAACTAACAGATATTTGTGTCCTCTGCTTTGTGCATATTGGACTGGAGCATGCAGGTGATGTGCAATCTACAAAACTCAAACAATTTCACTTGGGTTACCTTTTGAAGTTTCTGAAGATTAGGTAGCATGACAAAGTACCAACTTGTAGCAACACCTGAGTTGTCGGGCTGAAAAATCCACACCATATTAATAATTAGAAACTGGTCAGGCTAGTTGCATGAGGCTGGAATGCTCAACATTTGCTTACCAAAGCCAATTTTCTAAAGACCATTTGGGTGTGGTATGCTCTTATGGATGTCAAAGAAGTTGCTACAAGGACGGTCTAGAGACTTCACACGGGAGCTTTATCCATTTGCGAGTTCGGCAATAAGCTCATTTAGGATTGCATCCGATGTAACTGAATACAAATCACTGCAGCTGACTTGAAATCTAGTGTATGTTGAAGAGGAAATTCTGAGCCAGCTACTCATCCAAAACTCATTCGATGCAAGAGCTTGTGCTACTTACAGCAGAATGGCCTTAGCAGTCAGCTATGTTCAGAACAGTCATATTGGACTTGATGTTAGCTGCCAGACCTGTCAATTTTCTCTGGTATTGCTTTTACCCCAGAGCATGGTATTCTTTAGCCTCTACTTCAGAGAATTAATAATTTTGTCCTGTGTTCTAGGCAATTGAATATGTCTACCTGTTAATTTTGCATTCAGTAGCAGGAATTTTTTTAATTTATCTTGTAACAGCTCATTTTGGTTGTAAACCAATGTCCATCATTGCTTTGACTAATTCACATTTTAAGGATTAAAAAACAAAAAATAGAAGTTGCTGGAAGCTTAGCAGGTCTGGCAGCATTTGAGAAGGAAAGAAGGGTCACCAGACCCTAAGTGTTCACTCTGCATTTTTTTCTTCACAGGTTCTGCCAGACCTGCTGAGCTTTCAGCAACTTGTTTTTATTCCTGATTTACACCATCTGCAGTTCTTTGTTATTTCACAGTTAAGGGTTGTTTTGTATTCTGATAACAGCCTTTAACTATAATCAAGCTGTCCTAATTGATACATTTTCTATTTGTTTTAAGATTTGTGTATTTGTTTTTATTCTTCCTGTGCTTTCTTCAACAGTTGTGGCAATATATGACTATTCGAAGGATAAAGATGATGAGTTGTCCTTCATGGAGGGTTCAATCATTTATGTGATAAAGAAGAATGATGATGGCTGGTATGAAGGGGTCATCAATGGAATTACTGGTCTGTTTCCTGGAAATTATGTGGAACCTATCATGCACTATACAGATTGAAGCAAAGAAGTGGCATTTTCAAGCTTTCTTTATTCCTTGGCCAGTTCAAGAATTTTGGGGGGGGGGGAATTGATTTGGAGGTTTTTCAAGGGTGCCATTACTTTTCAGTTTAAAGTGGAAACTGACACTGAATTAGACTGAAAATTCAACAATGTTCAAACTGGGACAATAAGGTGAAAATGCAAGTGCTGGTCAAATTTTCTTAAGACATGGTCATTCCTAAAATACTAGTGCTTGTTGATAGCATGCATAAAAGTACACAAACTTCTGTATTGTAGTCAATTCATTTTTAACCTAAAATGCTTCCAATATGTTGTAATTTTTCAGTTAATCTGTGAGCACTCTAATTGTAATCATGAACTGTCACATGAGTCTATAAAAACATTTGTGGATGAGGCTTGGGTGTCTTCTAATCGAAGTACATGTTATTGATTTGTACTCAACAGGTTAAACATTTGATATGGATAAAATTTAAATAATGGGGAAAATCATCTGTAGTCAAAGTGAACCAAAGTGGAGTTTGTTGTCAGTTCATTTGTACAGTGGAAATTGTCTGGATCATTGGCTTTGTATAGTCCTGGTAAATTTTACTCAATTTACTAACCTCTTAGAATGTTAACCATTTAACATCTTATTAGCTATGTTCTAAACTAGATACAGGCAATTCTACTGTACAAAGTCAGTTTCTAGGACAGATTTACTTCCAACACATCATGTGCCTCAGGTCTGATCAACTATGCTTTGCTATTTGCTTTGGAAGACGAAAGTATAATTTGTTTCAAGGGGTTATTACTAAATTCTTTAAATGCATTTTAAAGCTAGTTTTTGGCCCTAATCATAAAAATCAGTGTTCAGCTGTGTTTCTCCTATGTTCTGTTAATTGTTCTTTGCAATTTTTCATGCTTCAAGTGTTGAAGCTAATAAGAAACCAAGAATTTTTTGTAAATTAATTTACTATCAAATTAGAGGGGGAAAAAGGGCACATTATGCCCTGTTACTAAAGGGGATAAGGATGGCAATAGAGCAGTTGTCCTTTTTTTTTGAGAAGTGCTAAAATTTCTTGCACCAGTTTTCTAATCTTATTCTAGAAGCAGTGCTCTAGTCTCATTTAGCAAAGTTATGTACAAATAAAATTAGTTAAATTTATTTGCTTTAATAAAATGTCCACTCTTGATAGGACATTGTGGGGGCCAATCCTTACGTAATCTGAGGTTTTCTTATTAACTTCTGCCTTATGATTCTAAGAAGCTTTAACATTGTGAACTTTCATTCTCTTCAACCTTTAAAACTGAAAATGCATTCCTTTAATTTGTATATAACCTGTTACAATTGTATGTACAGCCTTTTATAATAAATCATTCTCAATATATAAAATTTTCACACAGGCACTAATCAAGATTTTTTGCAAACAGTTATAGTGGTCATAAGGCCAAAGTATGGGTCAGAATCATTAAAGACAAAGGCCCCAATATATTATCTTAAGCTTTATGTACATGGTTAGTCCAAAATGTAAACAATTCCCACTGATTTCCTGGCTAACTTGGAATTCTTGATGCAGGTTCAACATGTGTTTTCAGTCTCAAAAAAGGAGTGAGAACTTGACTCTCACTTGTTCCGCGTTAGTACAATTTCTGCAAGTTGAATCAAGGCATCTCTTTCTGGTGAAGGACGCAGTAGAGAAATCTGTCGAACAGCTTCTTGACAATATTGATGAGCAAGATAACATGTTTGCTGAACACCATCACTCTAAACAAACACAATCAATTTTAGTAGTAGTCAAATTGACCTACCAGATTTTTTTAGTTAAGTAACACAGCTTGACAATTTCCAATTTGTATACAATAAAGTTAACTTTACTTTATCCTGTAGCTAAATTTAAAAGGAATCTATTTAAGTTCTAATGTTAAACTTAGACATCCTATTCAGTTTTTGACTGGCTAAAGATAAACTTTAAACAGAGTCCCATCTGGAAATTGCAGAACTGAACTTTAAGTCTGGTAACATAACAGACAATCACCAAAAGTAATCGGCTTTGTTTGAAGGTGGTGGTAGTGTCATCAGACTTAATTCTGAGGACAAGGATTTAACTTCAAATGACAATGAATTAAAAGCTAGGCTAATAATGACTACATAGTCATGGTTGACTAAATGCCCTTGGGTGAGGAACCATTCTGTTGTCAGCTGGTTTTGTTGACATGTGCCTTCAGACATTACACTTTGGTTGACTTTCAACTGTTCTGTGATTATGGCTCATAGCCACTCAGCTGTATCAAACTACTACAAAGTTTAAAAACCGGAATTCAAAGTTAATGGGCCAAGAAACTACAATAAGTGGCCTGTAGACTTTTATCATCACTAACATATGGAAGTTTGTGCTAAAATTGGGAGAGTTGTCCCACAAACTAATCAAGCACTGTTTGATAGTCTGTATAGTATGATTGTCCCAGATACAAGTGGCAGCACTGTGCAATACAGTGGAGTTGATTGGGACCCTTCAATTTTGATTATCATGAGATTTCAAGCATAGGAAGGGAAACATCAAATCACCCCTTCAGCTGAACTGAATTAGTACTCAACACCAACTGGAAGCAGCAGTGAAGCTGACAAGAGTGTAATGACAGTCCCAATCAATGTCCATCACCAAGTGTTGCTCAGTTGCATGAATGACAGTCAAAGGACATAACTGCCAGACTGGGACTGAATCAGGTTGCAAAAACCAATTTAACCATCTCACTAATCTAATTTTGGATAGCAGTGATAGGTGTGACTGCTCTACCACCCTTTTATGTTAAGACAAGGATTATCTTTGACATGTACCATTGCTATAGTAAATAGATGAGTTTGAATAAATCTAGCAACTCAACTGGACACCTGAGGATTATGGCCATCAGCACTGTTCAATAGTAACCTCGTGTCTGGTTATATTCTCTCCTATTATCATGAAGGAATAAAATTAACTGTGGTTCAAAGTAAAAGCAGAAGGGAACAGCAGGTTACGTGAAGCTGTGGTGGATACTAGTTAGGCTAGGGTATTACAGTTATACAACCAAGACACACTCAGAATATACTGGAAAGAAACTGATGTATGACAACATCAAACCATCATATCATTTCAGCGTTCAGTACATATACTTTGTTACTTATAACCAATTCTGGCACCATCCTCAAGGGAAATGTTGAAAGCTGGGATGAGATGCTGAGAAAGTTTAAACAGGCACTTTAAAATTTTAGTAACTATGTGATGCATAGTTGTAAACAACTCAGTGCTTGTGACGTTCTGTATTAAATCATGACTCTTTGTAGAAATCCCAAACATGCAATGGTTTTTCTTCCTTCTACCTGAAGTGTTCATGCTGTATTTTCATTTGTTTATACTGTTACATGACAAATCCCAGTATACATATACACACAATATTTTTGTGCTTTATTCCTTCCTCACCTGTTGTACATATTGCCATGCTTGATCTACATCACCATCCACATTGAAGCGTCTCATTATTAGAGTATGTAATTGAGGAAACTTGGGGGGGAAAAAAGTGCAACATTTAAGTGTTTTCTTATTCACAGTTATTGGCAATAGTGCATTATAAACATGCAAAATGTACATATTTGTTCATTTCCTTAAATTGCACTACAGCACTGAACTCTAGCATTACCTGATTGGCCCTGGTAAGTAGTGTTGCTACGATAGCAGATGCAGAGTACTGAATTTTTGAAGAATGACAGTTTGCACAAGTTATGGGAGACTTTCAGAACTGCTGTAATTTCACCAGTAGCTTAGAAACACTGCTATGATACAGCAAGTCTTCAATACCTGTTGCAACAATACTTCAGTCACCACATTAGATCCACTCCCTAGCTTGAAATATGTTCATGAGGTTGAGGCTTGCTGATTAACCAAGGTTAGTTGTGCATCGTTATGCTGAACATAAATCACAGGTCAAATTCCTGAAAGCAGAAAATCTAGATGTGATCTTCAGTCAATGTGTTTTGACCCAAGGTATGAATATGATTTTGTTCAGTAGAGTTTAGTGATTCTAATTGTGCACACCAAGCCTGCAAAAGGGAGATTCTTAACATCAAAATCAGAGAAAATCATTCTGTTGCACTTTGGCTGATCTGCACATTAACTCCATTATTCATCTGCATCCATGAGGGTTTAATCAATCAGGATAGAGTCCATAACCTCCCTTGCCCGGAATAAATCAGCTGCCGTTTCCTTAGCCAGATCAGAGATAATGGAGTAATCCTCATAACACCAATACATTCATGACCATTTGGAAATACACCAAGAAAAAAAAACTTTGATACTAGCAAAAAGATTATAAAGAAAATAATTTAAAGTGTTGCTATATCCTTGTCCAGTCTCCCTCTGCCCCTTTTTACCATTGTCTACATTTGATCTTGCAAATGTGCACATTGGTTGAATGACCTCCAATGTTTTTTAAAAACAAAAGTCTGGCTGCAAAGGATGAAGTCTATTTAGCATTCAGTGCTCACTATCTTAACCTCTTTCATGAGATGCATCACTAGCTAGGCCAGCATTTGTTGCCCGATTCCAACAGCCCTCAAGGTGAGCAGCCTTCTTGAAGCAATTCATTCCATAAGTGTACACCATGGTGATGGTAAGAAGGGGGTTCCAGGGTTTTGACCCACTGACAGTGAAGGCACATAATTCCAAGTCAGGATGCTGTGTGCCTTGAAGGGGGAAAATACAATTTGCTGCTTGTCCTAGGTGGTAGAAGCTACGGTTTTGGAAACTCCTTTCAAAAGAAGTTTGATATTTTGAATGTGGTGCATCTTGTAAATGGAATTCAGTGCTGCACTGTCAGTGGTATTGGGTGGGGTGCTTAGACTCAATAATATAAAAACAGAAGATGCTAGAGAAACTCAGGATGTTTGGCAGAATCTGGGTAAGAGGAAAGAACAGTTGCTGTTTTGAATTCATTGTGCATAAATGTAGCTGGTGGACAAGTTTTGGGAAGTTGTATGATGAGTTACTTGCTGCAGAATTCCCAGCTGCTGTTCTTGTAGCCATCATAGTTGGTCCAGCTTATTTGCCAGTGAATGGTAAAGACTGCCTCTAGGGTCAACTGGGCCAGACATATTGTCATCTTAGGCAAATAATAACCACTGATTTCAACAGCAGCTAAGTCAGTAGCAGGTGGTACATTGTTTAATTTTTTTTAAACTTTCCTGTAGTAGCTTGCATACAGTGGAGTGACTTGCAAGGCCATTTGCAAGTTAACTGTACTTCTAAAATCTGGTATCATATGTTGAACATAGAAAATCAGCCATGATCATGGCATTCAAGAGGGCATGAGAAGATTACTTACATGGAAACAATGTGGAAAGGTATGAAGAAATAGGATAACTATGCCAATTCACAACACTTATTTGAAAAGCCAGTGTGGATACAATGGTTGAATGCCTTGCTTGCAGGAGATGGGGGAAGATGTTAAGAGTATTTTGCATCAGTGTTTACTGTTGAGAAGGATATAGAAGATGGAGAACATGGGGAAATAAATAGCAGCATCTTGAAAAACGTCCATCTTACAGAGGTGGTGGTGCTAGATGTCTTAAAATGTATATAGGTGGTTAAAGACCTGAGACCTGATCAAATATACCATAGAACTCTGGAAAGCCAGGAAAGTGATTGCTGGGGCCCTTGCTGAGATATTCACGTCAACGATAGCTGCAACTGATTTGGTGGCAGACTGGAGGTTGGCTAACATGGTACCATTATTTCAGAAAGGTGATAAGGAAAATCCAAGGAACTACAGCCCGGTGAGTCAGACGTAAGTGGTAGGCAAGTTGTTTGAGGGAATCCCAAGGGACAGGTTCACATGTATTTGGAAAGGCAAGGACTGATTTAGGGATAGTCAGCATGGTTTTCTGTGTGGGAAATCGTCTCTCACTACCTTGACTTTTTTTGAAGAAGAGGATTAATGAACACAGAGCAGTGGATGTGATCTATATAGATTTCAGCAAGGCGTTCATCAAGGCTCCACATGATAGACTGGTTAGCAAGGTTAGATCACATGGAATACAGGGAGAGCTAGCTGGCTTGAAGATAGAGGATGGTGGTGAAGGGTTTATATACTTCAGAGGTGTGACCAGCAGTGTGCCACAAGGATCTGTGCTGGATCAAAGCTTTTAGGCATTTATAAGTGATTTGGATGTGAACATAAGAGGTATGATTAGTAAGTTTGCAGGTGACACCAAAATTGGTGTATTGGACAAATTACCTCAGAGTACAATGAGACCTTGATCAGATGGAGTTTTAGATAAATGTGAGGTGCTGCATTTTGGAAGTAGAGTTGCAGGTAGACAGTTGTGAAGGCAGCATTTGGTATGCTTGCTTTTATTGGCCAGTGCATTGAGTATAGAAGAGAGATAAACAAGGTGTAGAGCTGGATGAACACAGCAGGCCAAGTAGCATCAGAGGAACAGGAAGGCTGACGTTTTGGGCCTAGAAGTTGGGAGGTCATGTTTTGGCTTACAGGGAATTAGGAAGGCCACATTTGGCATAGTGTGCAGTTTTGGTCTCCCTACTATAGGAAGGATGTTGTGCAACCTGAAAGGGTTCTGAAAAGATTTACAAGGATGTTGCCGGGGTTGGAGGGTTTGAGCTATAGAGAGGGCGAATAGGCTGGGGCTATTTTTCCTGAGGTTTATAAAATCATGAGGGGCATGGAGAGGGTGACTAGCCAACTTCTTTTCGTTGGGTTGGGCAAGTCCAATACTAGATGGCGTGGGTTTAGGTGGGGGGGTGGGGGGGGGGAGGGGGGATTTGAAAAGGGAGTCAAGGTGCAACTTTTTCACAGAGCCTGGCGTACGCATGGAATTAAAGTTGTCCGAGGAAGTGGGAGGCTGGTACAATTACAATATTTAAAAAGCATCTGGATGCATAAGTGAATAGGAAGGGTTTAGAGGGATATGGACCAAATGCTGGCGCATGGAACCAGGTTAATTTAGGATATCTGGTTGGTATGGACAAGTTGGACCGAAGGGTCCGTTTCCATGCTGTACAGCTCTGACTCTGCACCACAACAGTGCTGTGGTGCAGAGATACTGAATGACAGAGCTAGCTTTTTTTAAGTTTGAATTCCATTAGCTGCCATGGTGGGATTTGAACCCAATATCCGAGAGTATTGACTGGAGTCTGGTCCAATGACTTTACTGTTATCTACTGCCTTTTCCTGACTAAGGCTAAAATTTCCATCACTAATTTTATTTAGCCATGGTTTCATAGCCATGTGATTTGCATTTTGGATGCTTAAAACCAAATTATTAGCCCTACCATCTTCTGTTCATCTTAACTGGTTTTCAATAGCAGCTATTATGTTGCAAAATGTTAACAATCACATGGCAACCATCATTCAACTGGTAGCACTTGGGAGTTTAATCCCATTCCAGGACTTGAGCATATGAACTAAATCAGCTACTCTACAATATGATGTATTGTTACAGAGGTGCAATAAGCCAGGTCCCATTCGTCTTCTAATGTGAATATAAAAGAATCATTAATGCTGACTTGCAGATGAGCCAGGGAATTAACCCTGGTGTCCAGGACTCTATATATCCTTCATTTAATGCCACTGCAATTGCATTGAATAAACAGTACAACAGTGACTGCAATTCAAGAAGAAAAAGTACTTAATTGGCTGAAGATTTTTTTAAAATATCTTCAGATCCTGAGATTCTACCTAAAGCACTCCATACATCATCTTTAACATTCACTCTCTCCACTACTGTAGTGCAGCAGTGTGTACCATCTAAAAGATGCACTGCACTAACTTAAGCCTCCTTCAAGTGCACCTTCAACTTGTAACCTCCACCACCATAAGGGCAACAAACGTATAGGAATGCCACCATTTACAAGTTCACCCCCAAGCCACATGTCATCCTCTCTTGGAACTACAGTTGCGGTTTCTTCATTGTCACAGGGTTAAATTCTTGAAACTCCCTTCTTAACAGAATTGTGGGCGTACATCAGTTATGTGGACTGTAGTGGTTCAAAAAAGGCAGCTCACCACCAAGGACAGTAAGTGCTGACCAATAGCACCCACATCCTGTGAACAGAGTTTTAAAAATGGCAAGACCTTCTATGTCACAGTTTACCAATGATTCATGTCAGATTCAGTAATGGTTTAACTCGTTACATTGTTGTGAAACAAAATTGCAGAAAATATTTGTTGCAATTTTTTTTCATAAAACAATTTCATAATCCCAGGCTTTATTCTCCAGAATGAAGCAAGTTTTAAAACTGTGTCTCTACAACAGTTAACTGTTTCCACAAAAAAAAATCTAATAAAGCAATTTTATTTATATGTACGTTCATGTTACCTTTTGGCAAGCAAACAATACTGGGCCTGTTGCCAATCCAAGCTTAAGGTCAGCAGCAGCAGGTTTTCCTAACTGATTAGCACAGGAGGTGAAGTCCAACACATCATCTACCAACTGAAACAAATAAGTTTTAAGAAATGGACACTACAACAGGGTATCTTGTTCCAGGAAAGTCACAATGCGTTGAACATAGTCTTTACAGTACCTGAAAAGCTATCCCGATATTTCTTCCATATTGGTATGCAATTTCCTGGACGTCTGGATCACAATTACCAAGAATGGAAACCTTTATTTCAAAAAAAAAAAAAAAAACAAACTTACTTGATTTGTTCTTGATAAAGCCAAGAATTTTCAGATCCAGATCTGTTTTTAATGATTTCACTCAAGCAACCAAACTGTCAATTCAAATGTCATAAATTTGATCTGCTTTGCCCACCTATTTTAGGTGCAATCATCTCTCATGAGGTCTGCAGGCTGAAACATTTTTTATCTCCAGTATACTGTAAAATATTTTAATAGTTTAAAAATCATAGACCGTAAGAGAAATGGCAATAGGCATAGGCTGTTCAGCCCCTCTTATCTGCTCAACAGGTTCGTGGCTGATCTGAACCCCCTCATGTCCACTTCCCTGCCTTTTCCCCATAACCCTCTATTCTCAGACCAATTCAATTCCTAATCTAGGTTGACTTAATGGATGCAAGCCAGAGCTGCATTTGTGTTTGTACCATTGGTCCAGAACTTTGGACGTCCAAATCAGTTTTTTCATTAAGTTCATGAGGTTCAGGCTCAGCTATGAATAACTACAGTCATTGGCCACTTCAGAAAGGTACTAGAGATTTAATATAACCTGTGGATTTGTTCAGGATACTACCTTAAATGGGAGGGACAACAGAGAAGTTTAAAAGGAAGTATATTAAGTAAAAATACTAAGTAAATATATTTCAAAACTCAATCCCTGTTATAATCTTTAAAATATCTTTAATACTTTAGGTCAGACAAAGCAACAGTGTAGCTTTAATATAAAAATCAATTCCTGAATATTTGCATTAAGTATTTTAAAATACACTTCTGAACCAATTAATTGTAGCTATTAGGCTACAAATTTCTCTCAAGTGATGCATGTAATAAGGCATATTTTATATCACAAAATGTATTTTATATTCCACCATAATTTGTCAGGCTATAATTCCAATTGCTTTAAGAACGTACATACTGCTTTACAACTGTTTGCTATGAGGCTTGCAGTCTTCTTGAATGTTTTCTCAAGGTAATGCCCAAATCTTTCATTCTCATTTTCTTTGGAACCCAGCTGCATAAATTCCCCTAAACAGGAAAGTAAAGGTTTAATTCACAAAGCATCAACCATTAAGACTGTTTAATGCCTTCAAATTAATTTTAAACTAACCTCGCACCAAGTCTTCAATTGCTTGAGTAAAAACGGATACTACAGTGTTGTTACCAAGACGAGCAAGGGCCACGGAGGCTGCAGAGAGAACAAAGTCTCCAGCCAAAATAGCCTGCAATGAAAATTCACTGAATGATGCACAATAGAAGCAGGGATAAAACAGTTCATGTGTATGCAACAACTTTATTTATTGATAGTTTCCTGAGTCAGGGCGGCACACAAAACTGTTTCCCAGGGCAGTGTTTTCAGTAAGTAGTTTTTGTTTTGCATTCCCATTAATGTATTGAGTAAATACTGTAACTTATGCTGTCCTATACCAAGTAGGAAAGAAAAATTACATTTTCCTTTTGCCCACTTCTTTACTCCATTTCGTTTTCTCCATCTACTTTGATATTGAATTTATTCACCTTGAATTTAGTCTCATTCAGTTGTTCCTAGTTATTTCTCTACTATTCAAATTTCATTGGCGAAAGAGACACATTGTTTGTCCCATTGAATACAAAGGGTTTTATTTTATTCATTTCTGGGATGTGCCTCTTGCTGGCTAGCCCAGCATTCACTGAACATCCTTGTTTACTCTTGGGAGAGGGCTGATGAGCCACTTGAACCACTGCAGTCAGTGGAGATTAGTGCTGTCAGAAGAGCTTCTAGATCTTGATGCAGAGTTGGAGGCAATGACAGAATTACAATGTAGTTCCAAGTGAGAATGGTGTGGAAGAGAGAAGGGAACCTGAAGCTAGAGGTGCTCCCATCTATGTGCTGCCATCTATGTGCTGCCTTTGTCCTGGGTGGTAGAGGTCATGGGTTTGGAGAGTGTAGTTGTCGTCCTTATACCAGTTCACACTGTGTGCATAAAATGTTAAAACCCAGGTATTTAAAAACAAATCTCACTAAGGCAAGCAATGAGGTGCTCCTATAAAATCTGCATATTTTAAAATAGCTTAGCCAGAAACATGTCAAGAGAGCACAACACGAATAGTTTTACCAACTACATTTTACTTCCTAAAACAAAAATCACTATATACTATTTCTATTACAAAAAAGTAGTTTTCCTGTTTCCTTCCTCCATCTTCCTCAAAAGCTTTTGATACCTCATAATGCAAGTCATATCTGCTGAACCAGAAGTTACCATTTTTTTTCCTTCATTCATGGGATGAGGGCAGCGCTGGCTAGGCAGCATTTATTGCCCATCCCTAATTGTCCAGAGTCAACCATATTGCTGTGGGTCTAGAGTCACATGTAGGCCAGACCAGGTAAGGATGGCAGCTTCCTTCCCTAAAAGGAATTAGTGAAGGATATTCCGACAATTGACTAATGGATTCATGGTCATCATTAGATTCTAATTCCAGATATTTATTGAATTCAAATTCCACCATCTGCTGTGGTTGGATTTGAACCTAGGTCCCCAGAATGTTATCTGGGTCTCTGGATCAACAGTCCAGCGATAATACCACGAGGCCATTGCCTCCCCATTTAATTGGGAATAATACTAATAGATTGACAGCAAAGGAGACCACAGCAAGTGCTGAATATATTAAATATTCACTATTAACAATTCTAGTAGACAAAGGGATTGCATACTAAGGAAAGTAGACATTAAAATCAGGGATGGGGGTACCCAGCAAATTAGAGTTATATAAAATAATGGCAACAAAGAAAGTTTTGACACTAAAGAGTGAAAGAAAAAGGATCAGAGGAAATAGGTGAGAACATTACTGTTGTTCTATTTATAATCTTCCACAAATTCTTTATTCCACTACCATCGCCGTGGATGAGAGAATTGTGTAAAAACCACTTTTTAAAAAGTAGCACAAGGGGAAACTATAAAATTAGGTCAGCTAGCTTAACATCGCTTGTCAGGAAGTCACTAGAATCAATACACAAGGCGACGAAACACCTTCAGAATTTTTAGCTGAACGGAATGCTTACGTGGATGTGCAAGATAGATTACGTCCAATATGGCTGAGGTTTTTGACGTAGTGACTAATATAAATTAATGTTTTAAATCATATGTAATGAACTTCCAGAAGTCATTTGATGGAAGTCCCTTAGGTAAAGTTGAAGCACATAGAATGGAGGCAGATTATTGACCTGGTTAGTAAATTGATTGACGGTTAAGGAATAGATGAAGTATATGGGCAGGTACTCCAATGGACGGGTTATGACTTGTGATGCCTCGCAAAGACTCAACCAAATCATTATACTTGTTAATCACTTGAGACCATGAGACAGGAAGCTGCACAACCATGTTTTCCAGGGTAGAAAGACAAGTTGAATTGCATGCAGTACTGATGGACAGAGTTGCAGAGGTATGAATAGATTAAGTGAATGATCAAAACCTGATAATTGACTTCAACGCAGGCAAGTGTCAGGCTATTGACCTGGGAACAAAAATAAAGGCACTTCTTAAAATGGTAAAAAGTTAGAACCACTGCCAGTCTCTTATCAATTTTAAGAGATGCACCATAGAAAGCATCCTATTCCAGATGCACCACAACTTGGTATGGCAACTGCTGTGCCCAAGACCCTAGGAAATTAAGAGTTGTGAATGCAGCCCAGTCCATCATGCAAACCAGCTTTCTTTCCACTGACTCCATCTACAGTTCCCACTGCCTCAGGAAAGCAGCCAACATAATCAAAGACCCCTCCCACCTTGGTTATATTCTCTTCCATTGGGCAGAAGATGCAAAAAAGTTTGAAAACACATGAAACAGATTCAAGAACAGCTTCTTCCCTACTGTTACCAGACCTATAAATGGACCTCTCATATTAAGATCTTTATCTGTACCTTCTCTGTAGCTGTAATACTATATTCTGTGCTCTGTTGTATTACCCTGATGTACTTAGGTAAGGCATGATTTACTTGGATAGCATGCAAAACAATACTTTTTCACTCGCAGTACATGTGACAATAATAAATCATATCAAAGTCCACCAAAGAATGCTGACCTTTCTATCTAGCCAGAAGCCACATGACACCAGGTTACAGTCCAACAGTTTATTTGAAATCACAAGCTTTCAGAGTGCTGTTCCTTCATCAGGGTGAAGCAGAGGGAAGCACACGGACACAAATTTTATGGGCATAGAGATGATAGCAAGATAATTCCAGGTAATTAAGAGTGTCAAAAGATAAGTACAAATAGTGTGAGTAGATTGTCAACAGGCTGAATAACAAGTCTGTATAGAGGATCAGAATACAAAGAAGTAGTAGAAGTGACTGATAACTAAAGCATTGGATGGACCACACCAGAGTACAAAGACCAGATTTGGGTACCATGCCTTATACCAGCACACGGAGAATAGCATGGTTTTTCAACACTTTCCAGAATCTTCAAAGAGTTAAATTAAAAGAAATTAAAATAACTTTATAAATTCCAAGGAATCCAATTTAAAGGCTGAGTCAATTAAGATATCACGGGAATATGTCAGGTAGATAGAAATTACTTCTGCTGGTTCAGTCTAGGACTATGAACCAATTCTTCATGAGCAAAGCAGTCACACTCACCTTTCTCTCTCCCCAGATTTTATTTACAGTAATTTTACCCCGTCGAGTATCTGACCCATCAATAACGTCATCATGCACAAGGCTAGCAGTGTGGATCATCTCGACGATCATGCCTATTGAATGCTGGCTACTCAACAACTCCCTAGACAATGATGGAAAAGAAAAGAAATCATTAACTGTGATATAACCCTTATAGAAACAACATACAGGATCTGGTTCATCGAAACGTACACTTTCTGGGAAGATGACACTTATTAAAACAAAGTCTGCACTTTACCATTCAATCAATACAGTACCAGTAAAACTACTCAGTTTTTGTTTTGTTAGGACTTAAGTATTCAGTAGTTCAAAATAGCTCAAAAAATCAAAGACTTGGAAAAATTAAAACATGTTTAGCAAGATACTACAGCTAAACTACTTTCTAATAGGAATTTTGGGGAACTCAACAGGTCTGGCAGCATCTGTGGAAAGAAGCAGAGTTAAATTTCAAGTCCAGTGACTCTTCTTCAGAATAGTTCTGATCTCACTGAATGGTGGAACAGGCTCGAGGGGCTAAACAGCCTACTCCTAAGTAACCATTGTGTTGTATACTTCTTTTCAGAATTCTTCAAAAATACTCGTCACACTTTTTAAAAAAAAAAAAAAAACTTGTTAAAGATAGTAGGAACTGCCGATGCTGGAGAATCTGAGATAACAAGGTGTAGAGCTGGATGAACACAGCAGGCCAAGCAGCATCACAGGAGCAGGAGAGCTGATGTTTCGGGTTTAGACCCTTCTTCAGAAAATCATTTTCTGAAGGGTCTAGACCCGAAACGTCAGCTCTCCTGCTCCTCTGATGCTGCTTGGCTTGCTGTGTTCATTCAGCTCTACACCTGGTTATCTTAAAAAAAAACTTGTGTATGTCAACAATTTGGTTAGCAGGACTTGCATCAATGATGTTACTGGCAACATGGCAACCTACCCACGCAAAAAACAGGAGTTATGATAAGCAATAGTGGCCTCACAGTGCCAGGGATCCGGTTTCAATTACCCACTCCTCAGGCGACTGTTTGTGTGGAGTTTGTATGTTCTCCTTGTGTCTGTTTGGGTTTCCTCCCACAGTCCAAAGATGTGCAGGTTAGATGGATTGGTCATGCTAAATTGCCCTAGTGTCCAGGGAATGTATAGGTTAGGTGGATTAGCCATGGCAAATGCACAGTTACAGGGATTTGTGGGGGGTGGCAGAGTGCCTCTTCAGATAGTCGGCGTGGACTTGCTGGGCCAAATGGCCCTTTTTCACACTAGGAATTCTATGATCAATTACACTGTGCTGTAAAATTGGCATTTCATAGTTTCAATTTTAGGATAACATTAATGCACGAGTGTCAATTAATTATTTTAATAAGAGAAAGAAACAATTTGATGAAATTTTTGGTCAAAGCAGAGAGATGAGGGTGTTTGGGAAAGATGGGCTAATACTTTGAGCTCACATTGGCTAGTTTGCAAGGTTGCCAGGGGAACGTTGAAAGAGCTTGGTATAAAATCTTCCAATTTTCCTTGTGTAGAAGAGGTGTCAGAGCAGTGAAGATTGACAAGTGTGACATTTGTTCCATCAAGGGTAACTTGATAATACTAGTAACCTTACACTGGTTAATTTAATAACCAGTGGTGCGATTTCAGAAACATTAATGGGGATATCAATAAGCATTTGGAAAGTTTTGATATCATTAAGGAGAGTGTCAGGATTGTAATGGAATTCTCCCAACTTGCCCGGATGAGTGCAGCTCCAGTAACATTAAAGCAGCTAGACATTATCCAGGACAAAGCAGCCCGCTTCATCAGCGCTACATCCACAATCATCTACTCCACCACTGATGCTCAGTAATGACAAGACATTCACCAAGACTCCTTAGACACCCACCTTCCAAGCCAACAACCACTTACATCACGACGGACAAGGGCAGCAGATAAATGAGAACATCATGACCTGCAAGTTCCCCTCCAAGCCTGTTGGGTCAAAATCCTCAAATTCTTTCCCTAAAGATA